ACATACATACACATATATTTATATCGCCTAGTATCTAACATTTTCTAATCTCTTCAAAATTTAACGAAAACTAACTAATCGCTCGTGATCAGCGTAAAACGATGCATTGAAAGATATATTGTTGTTAACGAACCGTCAATTTCTTTGAATTTTTACTTTCTTGGTACTTGATTGCGGTACTTGAAGCTTGACTGTACTTCAAAAATCAAACAACTCGCGTCGAGAACTCGTATCCAGGTCGGATAAACGTTTCCCGGATAACGACCACTAAGACACAAAATACGAATTTCGCAAATTTCTCAACGAGACATCGATTTCGCGATCGATGTCTGAAATCTTCTTCGCGCATTATGCCAGCGTTTACGGTGTATGCTGTGCGTCAGATCAAGGTACGTATACACGAATAACAAAAAAAAAAAAAAAAAAAAAAAAGAAAAAAGGAAAAAGGAAAAGAAAATACAGCAGAGAGTGAAACGAAAGAAGAGATACAACGTGGCTCGGCGTCTAGCAGGAACCTTGTGTCTCGTCCATTTATATCCTCGTTTAGACGCATTACCGAACGAGTCGATGGACTCTCTTGCTGTTTTCGCCGAACAAAGACACTCCAGCTTCCTCCGCAAACGCCACTGACTTTCCGACTCGTTCGACTCGAACGAAGGAAAGTCGTCATATCGAGGGACGAGCTGACAAGCAATACGAGCGAAACAGTCTGAGGTGAAAATCAGCCAGAGGTCCGTCGACTTTCGTCAGCCTCGTCTCGAACGACGGAGAGAGCCGGATTTCGCGGACGACGCGAGGTTCGCCTCCCAGACACGGTCCACAAACAATCCTAAACGCTACGACGTGTCACATGGAACTGGACGTGAAATTATCTACTTAAACCGTTTTGCCTATTTATCCACTAGGTAGCCTCTATTTTCGCACGCCTTTCACACGCTCACGCACGCGATCTTTCTCTCCCTTCTTACACACTTTCTCTCTTTGTTCTCTTTTTGCTCTCGCGTTCCCAAGCGAGGAGACGACACTCGACTCGACTCGACTCGAACGAGCTAAAGAGCAAACCGGGAATAGTCTTCTTGCCTTTCTCGATGTTTCCTCTTTAGAAGACCCGTGTCGGAGCACGTGTTTTCAGGAGGATCGTGTCGTCGACCGAGTCATCCTCGAGATTGTCGGACTCGTCCTCAGGTTCAGAAGCGAATCGGTCCAAACCAGCGAGAGACACTCGCGCTCTTTTTCTTTCTGCTTCGTCTCGCGCGATTCTTCAAGTTGTACGTTGATATTCACCGGATGAGCGTGGTTTGCTTGCTTGCTTTTCTCCTTCTATTTCTCTCTCTTTCTCTCTCTCTCTCTCTTTCTGTCTTCTAACAAGACGAGCTCTTCAGCTCGCCGATATCAGCGATGTTCTGCAGTAACGCAGCCGCCTCGGTGCTCGACTGGCTCGACTTGTATCGTTGCTTCAGGGTGCTCAATGCGGACAACAGTTTTGTGTTTGACGTCATTAGACGCGAATTCGCGGCGTCCAAAGCGGCTATTTGCTGCTCCTGCGCGTCGATCACGCGCTGCTTGTACGACAACGCAGCCGACATCTTCTGCTGTTCGCGCCGTAGCTCCTCCTCCACGGAGATTAACCTAGAATAATCAAACGATCGTCCGTTTAGCTCGTTCCTACCTGTGTCTCGTGGTTGTACTTGGAACTTCGCGAATCATCACCACGGAGCAATCTCTTTTTCTCTCTTTTTAGGAATTTAGAATGTCAGACGATTTTCTCTTTTCTTTTTTTTTTTTTTTTTTTTTTTTAATTTAAAACAAACTTTCCCCTGTCGAAATTTCGTTTCTCAAAAGAGCGTCAGATTGCTTCGATGGTACTGAGCACACATGGAACTGAGTTTCGCCTGAGAACTCTCTCGATGCTTTCCACCATCTTTCAAATTTTCGATTATAATTCTCTTTTTTTTTTGTGCTTTCACCGTTTCTGAGATGTAAGAAAGAAAGAGAGACTTCACAGGGTGGCTCAAGAGGATCCAAGCGTACCACAATGCACATGTCCAAGAAAAGAACACCAATGAATACACCGGAAGAAACGAAAGTCAAAGGAAGCAGCAGTGTGTGTGTCTTGGTGCAAAATATCATACGATCGAACAACCAAAAAAAGAACGATCAATCAATCAATCAATGCAGTGGACTGTGAGAGCTTTCATTCGGTCAGAGAAGCGAGGAGCCTGCCTGCTTCCTGGCGAATTGGCCATTGTCAAGTTTATGTGTGAGTAAGTACAAGAATGTCGGGGTGAAATGTTCAGGATAACACCATCTCGTTAAATACAATTAAAATCAATTATTAACTAATTAATATAGCATTATTTTGAGACACTTGTTTTTATCATCGAATAGACACTGTTGACAGTTACTGAACTGCATAAAAAGGATACAGCGAAGAGGGTAATTGTGCCAATGATAATGAAAAATTGTCGATAATTGTGAAAAAATTTTTTTTCGTAATTAGATTCATCAAAATCTCCCTTTACAACGACACCTTAAAACTTGTTGTATGATTTTTTTTTTTTTAGGATTAAACGACAAAAATTCAAAAAATTTTCCGAGTTTAATAAAATATACTTCATTGATTTTCCATCTTTAAGATCATAGTTTTTAGTAAAAAAAAAAAAAAAGAAATAAAATTTTTTTTAAATACAATTTTCGAGAAGGAACGAACTCGCGACTATCGAAATCGAAAACATCATGCTTTAAGATTCAACTAATGCTCTTCACTGTACCTGAGTGACCTAGTAGACTCTAAATTGAATAATTAAATAAAACAAATGTTTCGGCTCTCCTAACTAAACACAGATTCAATTCCACTAGTCAAAATGGAATTCAATAAGAAATTCTGTGAATCTAGCGGGCAAGACTCGTGACGAAATGTCACGATCACGAATTGACAAAATTTTACGAGAACAGACTAGACTAGAGAACTATCGTGAACATTTCCCGCGCAGCTTAGCGCAACACGTTACGCGCAAAAATCAGAGTGGTTTGCAGAACGTGAACCGTGCACACGTGGAACAGAACGAACGCATGATCAGAGGCGTGTGTGAAAGCTGTCGGTGTCGGATATCGAGAAACTTGGTGAAGTATTGATTATGTGG